CCGAACCCGATGAAAACTCGCCGCAAAATGACATTCAGCCCGAATGTCAACAGATGGGCGGAGCGAGCCGTGACGTCACGACTCGCTCCGCCCATTTCACATTCTCAGCCGTCAATAACTACATAGCATTCGGAAACTCCAGGCTGAAGGTCATTTTGCGGTGAGTTTTCGTCGGGTTCGGGTGGTCGTCGTGCGGCGGGACTTTTTTTATTTCGGCGTGGGTCGTGCATCGTGAGTGACGTTGGATTACATCGATGGAGCCATATTTTTTTAAATTAAAGGAATAGTCAAAAATTGAGTCTTTGTTTTTTTGTTCAATTAAAGGATTTTATCTAAAAGTCTGGACTCTTTACTATTTGATTTAACCCTTTAGTGAATGGGTACGGGTACAAGTCCCCCTTACTCATTCACATGGGGGGCGGCATCTGGGTGCCCCCTTATTTAAAGGGGTACCCCAATGCAAATAAGCCCCCTTGCCCGCAGACCCCCACAACCACCGGGTCAGGGTTGTGGGGAAGAGGCCCTTATCCCCATCGGCACAGCGACACCCTCCAGGTGGGGGGAGGGGGGGGGGGGGCGCTCGATCGGGCCAGTGCTCGCATCAAGGGTCTGGTAGGACTGTTAGGGGGGACCCCACGTTTTTTCCACCATTTTTTGGGGCTGGGGTTTTAACCTTAAGGGTCTGGTATGGATGTTGGGGGAACCCCACGCACTTTTTTTGTGTTATAACTGGGGGGGGTCCCTCCTAACATTCCTACCAGACCTAAAGGGTCTGGTATCAATTGGGGGGGAACCTCACGCTTTTTTTTTTTTTTCATCTTCTGCAGACTGTAAACAAATAAAAGTTGATTTTTTTTTTTCCTAATGTCATTTTGCTGCAACGAAATTCGTCCAATAACGAATTCCATCCATAAAAGAATTTCGGCCGGACTACCGCTAACGAATTTCGAGAAATCGGGAATTCGGACTCGTTTGCATTTGTCTTAGCTGTAATTCGGAATTCAGATGCATCCGAATCTCCGAATTTCCGAAGATTCGTCCGAAACGAATTTCGGAACGAACCGAATCGCACATGTCTACTCACAACCTAAGGTCCCAATCTCACATACGTACACACAGAGCCAATCACCCTACCAGCAGGTCTTTGGAGTGTGGGAGGAAACCAGAGTACTCCAACCTGGTCACCCTGCCAGTAACACATTTCCGGTCCTAGGATGATAACAGTCACCTACTGCACTGTATCTATGGAGGAGCAGCATTGTCACCCTAGGAGAGGAGGTGTGTTAAGATTACAGAATACCTCCCCTTCTCAGCATATCCATAACACTGGAAGATATGGGGTTCTGTAGTCCACAGAAAATAGAGAAGGATGTTAACTGATAACAGGATAGCAGAGGCCAAGAACACAGGATGTTATCAGCCCACAAGATTTCTGGCTGGATGAACAGGTACAATACAGTGCCTTGCAAAAGTATTTAACCCCTTTGTGTTTTTCCTGTGTTATTGGCTTACAACCTGGAATTAAAATGTATATTTTTTTTTTACATGCACCCCAGACACCTTTCAGCTCCAACCCCAACCATTAGACACAGCTGTTAATTTGGACTAGAAATGGGAAGATCTCCGAGACCCAGATAAGCTTACTGTTATTCTCCTTTTGCTTGCCATGGTGCCACTGGACTCCATGTGATGGACACAACATACCTATAAATTTGTAGGTGCAAAATAATGTGACCCACAGTCATAAGGACAAAAAAAAACAAAAACAACCCTACACAATGCTAGGCGTTCTGTGTACATCACGTTGTGCAAGCCTCCCAGTAATCCATTTTCATTCCAGGTGTAATGCAATATACAGAAAAGCCACCAAAGGGGTGTATACTCTTACACATTTGAGCAGCTAAAAGAAATCACTTCCAATGGTCCATTTACCAGGCCAAAGGGAGCAAAATAAAAAGGATGTTTTATAGTTCGGGCTCACATACACTTTTAGCCCTCATTCACACTAGAAAAGGCCGGCACGTACAGCTCCGTGCTGCGTGCATGGCCATATCGGGCAGCTCCCGGGAAGGACAGGTGCTGCATGTGATTAGTACACAGCCCCCGTACGCCGCCCTACTCTCACCCCAGTGCAGGTCTGTACGGGTGCGGTTGTCGCGGCTCGGACGCCCATCCTGTTAACGTACGAGCACGGACACCAGAAGCCGCACAGACGTGCAGGGCGGGTGAGCATAGGGCGGCGTACGGCTACATACTCCCATAGAGAAGGACAGGAGCTGCGTACTAATCACACGCAGTACCGGCCCTTCCCGGGAGCTGCCCGATACAGCCGTACACGCAGCACGGAGCTGTACGGCACGCACGGCCTTTTCTAGTGTGAATGAGGGCTAAGGGCTCGTTCATAATAAAACAGTTTCACCCTGTGGTTAGTGTCTGCTGGTTGGCAGCGGTGAGCCACGTTGCCTTTACATTGCACCACAGTGACTTCCAGTGGCATGCAGTGCACTTTGTAAAAATGCACTATGCCCGCATTTACCGCAGCCCATGAGACCCACGTTGTGGTGTGAATGGGACACACATAAAACAATGGTGTTCTATGTGCCCTCGTGGTGACTGGCGTTGGTCCGGTGCCAAAAAAAACCAAAAACACTTGTCAGTGCTGTATGCGTGAACAAGCCCCAATAGGGAAACAAGCGTATGAACAGCGATCAGGGTGGAAACGGTTTCCTGAAATTCATTTTGGCATAATTTTTGGTTTATTTGCAGTACATATACCATTAACAAATCTGTAGGTTCTTCTAATGTTTATCTGTATGTAGTGTACTGTGCTGAAACGAACACTAATACAGGATAAGTCAACTAATGTGAAACTTCTAACGCGTCTCTTCCAGTAGGAGGCAACTTTGGCACTCCAACTGTCCGTGCACCTACAAATCCTCTGAGTCATTGCAAGACTGACAACCACAGGCATGACTCCCAGAGGCAGAGACATGATGAAATTTGTAGTTTTCCCGAGTCGGAGTGCTGATGTTGCTCTATTCCAAAGACTTGTGCCAAAATAAGCAAGTTAGCAGGAGCCTGTGACTGACCGCTTAAGAGTGGAGCTGTCCAGCTGTCTGGTGCTGAAAGCAGAAGACTGAAAGATGGAGTACATGCTGATAACCAAAGTGACTATAAACTCAGGAGTTAAATCTTAAAAATACATTCAAGAACCTGAACTATTAACAACATATCTGATTTGTGTATCACTCGGCCGTAGAGCCTCCAATCATCTCTGAATTGGTGCCGACACTGTCCTTCCTTCTGGAGGGGGGATACTTGTGTTCCCTATGGTCCCTGTGTGTGTTATAAAGTAGACACCGCTCCAAGCTCGCTCCCGGGATGGACTACAATTTCAGGTTCAGTTTACTAATTTGTATAGAGATTGTAGTCCATCGCAGGAGTGAGCTTGGATCGGTGTCTACTTTATAACACACACAGGGACCATAGGGAACAAAAGTAGCCCCCCTCCAGAAGGACAGAGTCAGCCCCAATTCAGAGATGATTGGAGGATCTACAGCCGAGTGATACAGAAATACCAGAACCAGAAATTTTTCCCGAAAGGGGATCCCACCATTGTTTCAAAATTTGAGCACACAAAAAGTGTTTTATCGTAGAAAATATTTAAATATATTAACATTGCACATAACAAAAAATGTATATCAAAAACAAACACATTTCTGCTGAGGAATACTTAATTCTCCTGGAGTTGAAGTTACAGGATCCAGATAGTTCTTTCGTCCGGCATAGCGGGTTTCTGTAATGAATGCAGTGAGTTTCAGGAGATAATAACCTTATCTCAGCTTTGTTGTTCGCTGTAGGAACAGGCCTTTGCTGAACAGCTGTTTCAATTAGTTTCCAGGTTAGGCTTCAATCGGAAGAGAGATCCTGTGTGGCCGAATCCAATGGTATATGGATATAATTCATATACAGTGGTGCACAGGTAGATTTATCTTTTTTTAGAACTTCGAAATCCTGTGATATCTCCAATCAAAATAAAAAAAAATATATTTCTAGCTATACGTTGGAAGCAGGAGAGTCATGGTGGCTAGCGGCCGTAGCAGTCACATACAAAGCACCTGGCCTATGACTCGTTTCACCCCCTACC